TTCTATCCAGTTTTGAAAGTGGTGTATTAAAATCACCCACTATTATTGTAGATTCATCTATTTATTTCTTCAAATCTATTAGAGTTTGTTTTATATATTTTGGTGCTCTTTCATTGGGAGCATAGATATTTAATATGGTTATTTCATCTTGTTCAATTGTCCCTTTAATCATGATATAATGTCGATCTTTATCTATTATGCTGGTGTTTGCCTTAAAGTTTATTTTATCCGAGATTAGTTCTGCCACTCCTCTTCGCTTTTTATTGCAATTAGCTTGGTATATTTCCCCCCAAACTTTGACTTTTAATCTGTTTTTGTCTCTGTGTGTGAGATGCATCTCTTGCAGACAGCATATTGAAGGATCTTGTTTTCTTATCCATTCTGTCACCCTCCGTCTCTTAACAGGTGCATTTAATCCATTTATGTTCAGTGTAATTATCGATAGGTATTGATTAATTGCTGTCATTACATTTGTTTTTTTTTGCGGTGTTGCTGCTTCTTTGTTCTGTTTGTCTTTCTTTGTTGAATTCACGATTTTTGTGTTCTTTATTGTGAGTTTCCTCATAGTTTTAATGTTTTCATATTCTTCTTGGATTTTCATTCTCTTGGTATGTTGTGAAGTGTTAATTTTCTTTGAGGTTACCTCATAGTCCAGTAACGTTTCTGTCCATTTAGTTCAGTCTATTTTATCCTGTAATCAACCTGACCTCCCTATCTGGATCTCTTTTCCTACGTGTTTACCTTCTTTTACATTATACTTGTTTTGGTCATAGACTGACCTCCCAGAGTCTCTAAGTTTGTACTTATAGTTTTGTTTTGTTAACAATTCTTCTTTCTGTTGACTTAATTCAGGGAGGTACTGCCATGTATGTCAATCTCTGGTTGTTGTCTGTTCTTGTTGGTTCTCAGTCCACAGAACTCACTTTAGGATGTTTTGTAGTGCAGGGTTAGCTTTGGTAAAGTCCCATAGCTTCTGTTTATCTTGGAATGTTTTGATTACACCATCATATTGGATTGATAGCTTTGCTGGATAAAGGATTCTTGGTTGGAATTGTTTTCTTTCAGGGTTTTATATATGTCTCCCCATTGCCTTCTCGCTTGCATGGTTCCTGCTGAGAGATCTGAGCTTAATCTGACTTGCTTGCCTTTGTATGTGACCCTTCTGTTTTCTCTGGCTGCTTTCAGAAGTGTGTCCTTATCTTTGAGTTTGGAGAGCTTGACTATGATATGTCTTGGTGATTTTCTTTTGGGGTCTACCCTTCTTGGAGTTCGTTGAGCTTCTTGTATGTTTATCTTTTCGCTTTTCAGGATGTTAGAGAAATTTTTTTCCAGTAGTTCTTCGACTATTTCCTCTGTGGACTTGTGTGATTCTTCTTGTTCTTTTTTTCCCAAGGTTCCCACGGCGTGTTTCCGTGGTGTCTCTGCAGCCCCTGTTTCATCCCGCCGCTTGGTCCTACCCAGGATTTCGGCTCAGGCCTCCGAGCCTGGCTGGCAGATTCAAAAGTACACGATTTTTTACTTCAGCTCCAAATTCCACAGGCTATAAGCTTTCAAACCTTTAAACTGTTCCTATCTCTGTGGGTCCGAATTTTGGAGCTCTGTCCTCCCTCTTTTTTGCCTGTAATTCTGAGTTATTGCTGATGGCGACCTTCACTGCACCTTCACCTTAGCCGCCATCAAGTCCCACTGTATTGTTAAAATTTTTAAATATGTTTTGTGCATTTATTTAACAGTCTGGACTTTATTCCTTCATTCCACTTCACCACCACAGTAACTAACTCATTTCACTGAGGTCTACATCCTGCAGAGAACCAGTTTCCAAAACTGTTACAATGGCAGGTATGTTCCCATAAGATTGTCCTGAGTTTGAACTAGGTTTTAGAGCTCTTGTGGCAACCCTTCTGATGTTATGATGAGCCCCAATGAATATTCTTGGCTGTGCTGCTGCTGTCCTCCCTCACCTATTATCTCTAGCTGCATATGGCTTGTTTAGAGCTTGTGAGACCATCAAAGCCCATCTTTCATTTACACACCCATTCAATTCTTCCAATGCTGAGTAAAATGATGAAGCACTAGTGTTATGTTTATACATTTATTAAAATATTTTAAGAAGTAATATTTTATTAACTTAGATGACTGGTGTTACATTTTTGGGGGGAGGAGGAGTAGGCACACTTTGTAGACCTTATATTTCTTTTTCCTGTTGAAATTATGACTACCCTAGTTTCCTTTCTCCACCCATATGCTGGCCCTGCTGCTTATTTGCAGGGGCCTGTGAAAAAACAAACAAACAAAAATGCACAATAACTCACAGATTATCAGACAAATAGACAAATGCAATTCCACAAACCACATAGCCAGTTGAAGTTTTTTTCATAGGATGGAATGATGCTGAGGGTTTGGTTGCTTTGGTATTAGTATTGTAACTCTTCTTTGGAAACTTAAGCTCTTCTACTTGTGTTCTGAGGGAAGATGATGCTTCCTATGGTCAACTTTTAGTCAAATTTATAAAGTTAGGAATTTCTTCCTTTACCCTATTGGATACAGTATAGGGACTTTTTGGAGAAATGACTGATAGCTGCTGACTGACTGCCAGAAGCAGCCCAAATCTATTGGCTTTCTTCTTTCCCACAGTTCTTCTAATCAGGAACGGTCCACCCAATCAATTCCTCAGAAAGTGCTACCAAAGATGCAACCAAACCCCAGAGCATTAGCTCCTAATGGTGTCTCTGAACATAACTGAGATGGGTAGTTAGTGTTTGGTCCCACTGTCTGAGTAATTAATTGTATTACTGCAAGTGGTTAAAAATGACATCCTAAAAAGTGCTTATGCTCCCAGGGGCTAAGGCAATGTCCTTTGTTTCCAAGCTGGTATATGCAAGAACAAGAGCTCATCAAGCTCCCTTCCTGTTTTGGAAGCAAGTGGTAACTAACAGGAGCTAACTGAGCCATTTATTAAACCTGCTCCTGGGCCTTATCATCTATCAACTTTGCCTCATGAGCTGACTAGCTCCAAGTACTAGTGGCTTCATTCAGTCTCATTCTGATTTAGGATGGGAGGTCAGAGTGGGTGAGAGGGAATCCAGATGGTATAACAGATCAACAACAGCATTACCCTGTACAAAGATCAATAGTACTTCGGTAAAGTTAGCACAAGAGATGGAGTTCTATTATGTTGACTGTCATTACTGATTAAAAAACAACAGAGTTGACTGTCATTACTGATTAAAAAGCAACAACTGAAAAACACTGCCAAGATAAGTCTACCTTTTCCCAGGACTTCCTTTTCTCTTAAATTTGCTTCCTCATTTTGGAAGACTCTCCTGAAAACAAACAAACAAACAAAAAAAACCACACTATTTGGTTCCCAACACTATGAGAAAGCATTTGTGTATGTAGTAAGTGTACAGTCATAGAGGCGCCAAGTCAGGTGGGTTGCAATGGTGATCGTGTTGATTTAATGTTAATAACTCATTCTGGGGGGCGGGGAAGTGATGCACGGAAAATCAAAGACATAGCAACAGGACACTCCTCAACAAATTAACACATTCTGAGGCTTAAATCTGTTTTAAATATTTTTCTCATCTTTTTCCAATTACTTTCTTCTCGTTGTAGAGATAGGACTTTTTTTTTTATTTGGCTCAGCAATCAGATATTTGGGGGCTCCCCTTTTGTTAGTATTATTTTCTTTATCTATGTAGAGGTGGAACACAAATTGCTGGTTCAAGTGGGCTAGGCTGGTGAAGTGCCAGAGTTTAGAACTACAGCTTAGAGTGTGGATTGTGTACCTCAGTGAACCAGTTATTGGACTGATTCGGGTTACTGAGCAGTCTAAGTTGGTCTGAGGAGGAAGAGACCAGTCCTGGCTTTCTTTTAATAAACAGGGCCCTTTCATGAAAGTGTAATTAGAAAGTGGGGTAGGTATGGAGGTGGACAATGGGATTTGATCAGATTTGCCTGAATGTGAGCAGACACTCAAAAAATACAAATTAGAATTTGGAAATGTAGAAGAAGAGCCACAAGGAAACAGAGAGCATTTTACCTTTGTTTTCTAGGTCCATGTTCTATCTGGTCATTTTGAACGCCCTTCTCTAGTCAAGAAAAAGGGCAATATGGGAGATTCAAAGGTGATTTAGGGGAATGACTCAACAGCCTGTCCAGAAGATGCAAGCCAAGGTGGAGCTTGTGGGAAAGAACCTAGCTGTGAACTAGGGCATTGGATACAGTGCCTAGCCCAGTCCTCTATGTCACAGAACTCAAGGCTTGACTGCTCCATATGGCCGTTTTATTGGGGAAGGGGACAATACAGCTAGGGGCATTTGCTTATGTAAAGCCCAGGACAATAGAGAAAACAAAAAGCAGCTTGGCAGCTTAAATTCTTTATATTATTGTTGTTATTAAGTGCCATCGAGTCGGTTCTGACCCATAGTGACCCTGAATAGGGTTTCCAAGGAGCAGCTGGTGAGCTTGAATCCACCGACCTTGCAGTCTAGCGCACTAACCCACAGCGCCACACCAGGACTCCTAACTTATTTATATAGGGCATTGGTATTTTTAATTCATATTTCTATGACCTGGCTCAGAATTTGAAGGGGGTATCATAATCAGCTGGACTGTAAGTAGGTCCCAGACATTTCTAATACATTGAAATGCACCAAAAGATTATAAGCTCCACCAAGATCTAGGGCAGTTGGTAGATATATATGTGTAAGTGTAGGGTGATGGGGTGGGTGGGACCAGGATGGGGAGGGATTCCTGGATTAGCACAATAAATTATAGGGTTACTTAGAGGTTGAGTTGTATTTTCAGTTCATATATATCTTTATGTCTTTATACATAATGTATACTGTAGCACAGTGGCAAAACATTTGATTAAAAAGCCTAGCAAGTATGTAGGCAAACATTCCATGGAGGCATGCAGCCTAAGATCAAGGCAGTAAGAAGGGAGCCTGCATGGTTGCCATAAGGGGCAAATTCCAACCAATGGACCCACTCAGCCACTAGAGCACCACTTGGACATGTACAAAGACATACATGAACACGTGGAAAAACACAAAGGGTTTGCAGAGAAAGAGAACAATCATCATACCTATAAGAAAATATTTCACATGGTCATTTTAACAGGCAATTGTGAAATAAGTTAGTCAATCAACCACTCAAGACCTCCTCAAATTGCAAGTTGGTAGTTGGCAGGGACTGGGGGAGATACACATCCAGGCCTGCTTGTCCTACTCCCTCTCTTCATCTCCCTGAGAATATTTCTTTCCTTCATTCATTTACTAGCATTAATAGTTTCTTTGCCAGTCAGAGGAAACCATTCCCAAACTCTCTGAAAGAATGAATTCATTTCTAGCTTTCAGGCCATTCATAAATACTATAGTTGGTGGAGATGCACAAAGAGAATGAAAACTGAATAAGACAACTCAGAAGAAGAGTCTTTGGCCCAGGAGAAAATGTAAACCTCTAAGGAGTCCTATACTGAGTCCAGGAAAAATGTCTTAGTGTAAGGAATTTTTGGAGAGTCTCTCTTGGTGGTACTTGTGTTTATTCAGAGATAATTTAGTCTAGCCTATATTGAGGTTTCAAGAGTTTTGTAGTAGAATTCTAGGTGTTGTGAATTCTTCCAGCTTTTAAGGGCTACAGTTGAGGTCTTTATGGTGTTGGAGGATCATCATCTTTTGCTTCATCTTCATAATTTCTGCGATGCCACAAATTGCCTACATAGAAAAAAATTAAGTATACAAATAATGAGATTAGCACATTGCCAGGACCCCAATGAGAACAAAGAGATTGTTTGTTCCAATTGTATCTGTTTGTTCCTATTGTATCAACTACCTGTATGCTAGGAAATGGAAAGAAAGATGAGAAGAAAACAAAAGCAGCTTTTTGAGGAAAAAGCAGCCCATTTGCTTTGGGAATACGTTACAAATTAAATGGTGTCACCCAAACATGTGTTGAAATCCTAAGCCCTATGCCTGTAAATGGGCATTTCTACTGCTATGTTAATGAAGCCACACCAGAGTTGTTCTTGTGTGTGTGCTTTAGAGCCAGTTCTGACTTGTAGTGACCCTATATAGAGTTTCTGAGAGTGGCTGGTAGGTTTGAACTGTCAGCCTTTCAGTTACCAGTCCAGTACTTATCCTACATTACCATACCAGGGCTCCACACCACAATTGTTGTTTTTGTTAAAAGCTGTTGAGTCAATTCCAACCCATAGCAACCCTGTATAAGATTTCTAAGGAGCAACTGGTGAGGTTGAACCACCAATCTTGCAGTTCAAACCAACTTTGCAGTCCAGTGCATTAACCCACAGTGCCACACCAGGACTCCAGAATAGTATCTTTTTTTTTTTAAAGTAAAATAGCTAGAAACACACAAATAGGGGGAAGACAGATGACAGAGATAGATAATTCTACAAACCCAGGAACACTAAAAATTGTTACAGACACATGAGGCTATTAGAGACAAAGAAGGGCCTTCTCCTAGGGATGAAAACATGAATCTAGACTTGTAGCCTCCTTAACTATGAGAAAATGAATTCCTGTTCTTTAAATCTCCTTGTGGTCTTTCTTTGTTATGTCAGCACAAGGTAACTAAGACAGGTTTGGTGCTTTAGCGTTCTCATCAATATGAAGGGTATTTGTGATTTCTATAAGATCTTTTGAATAAAAAAAGTACAGGGTCCCCACTTGAAAGGACAAGCAGACCAACCTGGAGTGGCTAGAAGAACAGAAGATATTTCTTGAAAGAAAGACCTACAGGAAAAATATAAAACAACATAGGCAGACCGACAGTTACTACAAGAACAAGCAACTTGCTTGCCCAGGAAACATCAAGGCAAGTGGTCGGGTCCCCTCAGAGCAAACCCCCTTCCAAGACTAAGACTCAATGGGAATACACGCTCTGATTGGTGACCACGCTCGACATCAATAAGGGGAAGTGAGGGAAAAACAGCAATGAAGTGGTGAGCTAAGCCCTACAACGTTCAATAGACTTCTGTGAACCCGGGTCAAGACCTGGGGACTTTTGGGCCCAGAGTCAGTGACATAGCCACAGAGGACTAGAGTGGAGAGTGAAGCGTCCGGCTGATAAGAAGAGAGGGCATATGCATAAGAACACCCACACTTGTGGATGGTGCCTACTTGTCCTGGCTTCAATGAATGGATGATCAGAGCTCAACCGGAGGTGAAAAGAAGAGGAAAGAAAAAAAAAAAATTCTCATACAATTTGATGAACTTGACCTACACCTATGGAAGCAGTACCTCAAAAGAGGGAACAAGTCCTTACAGCAAGAATCATTCACACCCCCTCCACACACACAGTAGACAGGGATGGGCAACTTGGACATTGGCTACCCAAAATGGGGGCGGGCCGAGGGCTACAAAGGCAAGATGTGACTGGCTTACAAGCTTTCAAGAGGGCCTGGATGCAGGTAGAATCTCCAGTGAGTAGTATTCAATCTGACTAGGCGGGGCTGATGCAATGAAACGCAAACAATAGTGAATAATTGTTATCAGGACTGATTGTGAGGGTCAGAAATGTAAAGGTAGATGTTTTATAGCAAGGAGGGGAGTAATTAACTTCTCAGTCTAGGAGTGGAGGTCCCTAGGACCATGAAGGGAGAAGAGCAGAAAGCAGGACCCTACCCAGAGAAGCAGTGATGCCTGAAATGGAGCCAGAGATGATGACATGGAGTGATGGAGCAGCTGGAGACTTTAGATCCAGAGAGGGAGAGCGACTGTGTGCTGAAGACCTGGGGGGTACGGAGGAAGGATTGCATGGAGGGGATTGTAACCATGGCAATGAGACGATATACGACAGAATGAATGTAAAACTAATGTTCTCCCATGTAAACTATCAATAATTCACAATAAAACATTTAAAAAAAGGGGGGGGGGGCAGGGTCATATCCAAGCATGGGTAGAAGAAAATGTAGAGAAGAAGGAGGAGGAAGAGATGCCTCAGAAAGTGAATGAGTCTTCAGGAACCAATAAAAGCAGATGGACAAATGGAACTGATACAAACAGAAAAAGTATAAGAAATAAAGAAAAGAAAAGAAAGTTACATTTGAGGAAAAGTCTCTGGCAGTGAGGCTCAGTAAAATACTAGGGGTAGGCATTGTTCTGGAGATCAGAAAGAACATCTGAAGTCCTCCCTTTTGAAATACATAGATACATAGGTAGCCAGGGAGACTAGGACCCACCAGAAAATTCTAGAGTTAAGTTTGGCTATTCCCAGGCTCAGATAATTCTGTCCTGTAATATACATCAAAAGCTTTTTGGTTACCATGCCCTTTCCAAGATGAGACAAGTGGGCACTATGAGATAATGGTTTACCATTTTTTACCAAATTTCTGCCCTGAAGAAAGCAAGGCAAAGACAAGTCAAGCTTGGCTCTGACAGAGGTCATGTAAAGTTCATGCCCAATGGTGCAGTTACCATGATCCACAAAGAATCATATGAATATCTTTAAGTCTTATTTCTCCAACAGGATCAGCTATATGTTCTGGATGTCATGACAGGTAAAAATGTCTTTGTATTCCTCTAAATCAAGCATGCCCAGTCATAGGCTATATTTATTCACTAGCCAAAAGGAAAGTTAAAGACGATTTCCTCAATCTAAGAGAAGAGAATGAGGACAAGATCTATACATTGCACACCCACACCTATACTCACACACATGAGAGAAAGAAGTCACAAACAAAAGATAGAGGAAGAATGAGGAAAAGTGGATGAAATGCTCAGGTTGGTAGCAGGAAGCTTATAGGAACCTCTGATGGCAATGAAAACTGACAGTCCAGAAGATGGGCCCTTAGCCTGGGAAGCATTTGGTTTCAGGTAAAGTCTAAGATGCTGAAAAAAAGTAACGATTTCTTGAAGATGGGGACTACATCTTCGCCTTCCCTTGAGACTCTAAGAGATGTTTAGTATAGGACTGAGCACGAATCGAGCTGCTAACCTCGAGGTCAGCAGTTCGAAACTACCAGCCGTTCCGTGAGAAAGATGAGGCTTTATGCTTCTGTAAAGATTTACAGCCTCAGAAACCCTATGCAGGGTTGCTATGAGTTGGAATTGACTCCAAGGCACATAACCACCACCATCACCATAGAGCTGGGAAAATGGGTAACTGAATTACATACAGATCAAGCTTAGCTCTGTCATGGGGTTCTCAGATTTTTGATGTCATTTCATCAGACCAAAGGGATGATATTGTAACTCTTTTTTTTTTTTTTTTTTTTCAGTTTGAGTTGATTGAATAAGTGCCATATACTCAAAGTCACATTGGCAGGGCAATGTACCTGATGCTGAGTTGATTGAGTGGGAGGGAGAGGAGAGGGGCAGGTAATCTAGTATTAAGGGAGCCAGAGGCAATGAGTCTGCCGCATCAGTGTAGTTCTTCCACCAAGGAAATGGGTTTGATAAGAAGGTCACTCTTCTTCTAAATGTACATATGGAATTAGTTTCTGCTAGTGGTATAGGTAAAGCTTAAAAGTAACTCTAGATCCTCTCAAGATGTTAGAATCCACATTTCATAGGCTGTGGCATTCTTAGGACTGAGTAGTATATTCTGCCTTCTTTGGTACACAAAGATATTCTTTGATATTTTTTTAAAAAATTAATTATGTCCTCTATTGCTATGTCCCTCAAATTGTCTAGGCCCCACATTTAGGAGAAACCCCTGATTTGAAGAGTTGGTACAATTGACAATTCTAGCAGAGCCTTGTCTGAGTCCTGCTGACATATCAATGACCCCAATTCAAACAATGAAATGTAGAAATTTTGTATTTTCAGAGAATTATTCTAACAGTTAAGGGGGAAAAATTGAGACAGATCACTTGAACCTGCTTCTAACCTTTAGGTGACCAGCACCCTTAACCAATTTCAAGTAATAGTGCTTTCTGGAGGAGGACCAAAACCTTGTAGTAATATTTAACTGAGAGAGAGAGACAATTTAACTGTTTTGCTATAGTTTAGCAACATGGAACAGGAAATGGTCAAGTCTGTTTGTATGTTTTACTTCTGTGGTATGTACCACAGAGATCACAGAGCAGTGTTCCTTCTGAGGTTTTCCGCCTATCGCTTTGTAACTATCCAAGAGATTGACTAGTATGGTCTAAGATTGGGTCACCTCAATGAACATTTCTAATGGGGCTTCAGGTCCCTGGAAGGTAACCTAGGTTGATGGGGAATTCTTCATAATCCCTGTACTTATCTGTGGGGATGACTTACCAATAAAACCCTTGAATCCTTGGCCTGCTTTAGGCTTGTGTTCATCTTCCTGCCTCTTCTTCCCTAATTTTGGGAACTTAACTTTTAACCTAAAGCTTCTACTGTCAGTGTCTGAAGATTTGTCCTAAGGAAACACAGCAAAAGAAAGGTAAAAATATTAGTTACTTGATATTTAGAAACAGTTCCTAGAGGCCTGGAAAGATGTGAACAAATTTGCTACTTATCTAGACATGAGAGAGACCCCTCTGTGTCAGGTGCCTTGATAGACACTTTAATAAATGTTCTTATATAACCTTCAAAAACAATAAGGTGGCTATCATCATTCCTATTTTAGAAAAGGCAATGTACAGGCTCAGAGAGGTTAAATATGTCACCTGATATCACATGGTTAAGGAAAGGAAGGTTGAGCTTTAAAGGGACACTGCTAGCCAATATGGCACCTCAGCATGAATCAGAAAAAAAGGCACATTTTCCTTTGGTGATCTCACAGTTTGGTGAGCTCCAACTCACTTTCTTGGCCAAGAAGGTATAAAACCTACTTCTCAGTCCACTTGCTTCCCTGTCTGGAATTCCAAGAGGATTCCCAAACATAGCTCTTAATTATGAATGTGGGTAATTATGAATGTTGGGTAAAACATGCAGACTCTGTAAATTCCCAGCTTCTTGCTTTGGTTCAAGAATGTTCATTCTGATTCAGGTCTCAGTAAAGAATAATTCTGAAATTAACTCTGTTGCCAGAAAATCCAGACGCATTCCAAGAAGCTTTGGGGTTATCTTCTCTTCAGGATTATTTCCATACTTCTGCTTCTCTACAGTCAGAGTAGAGCAAAAGTCTGTTCTCATCCTCTTCTGCTCTGTCATTTATCCACTTTCCTCTAGTACTGGCCATACACACTATTTCTTTTCAGAAAAAATCTCAAGATAGAGTATAAGACCTTCTGTCTTAGCCAAAGCCTTGCCAAATTAACACTTTTTTCTTTTCTTTTTTTTAAGTGGAGGTCATCATTACTTTAATACATTGTATGTCAGGCAGGGATAATTTGTATGTTAAATAATACATTTATATAGATGTTTGAAGCCAAGCAAAACATAATCGACTCTTGTCCTGTATTTCCCCACCAAAGTGGATTTGAATCTTCAGTGGGCTGAAGGTGGGAAAGCTTGGTGTTAAGTGAATAAGCAATATTCTCCTTCCTTTCAAACTGGGAGACTTATTTATATGTGACCTGGTAAGTGTGTGCCCCATTTTGCTTAATATCTAGCCTATTTGCTTAGTTCAGGAACTTGATGAGAGAACGTTTGAGCAATAATAAATAGTGGGAAACACTAGTTTGCTTCCTTTTCTGCATAACAGTATGTTTTCCTTTCCCAAAGTCCTGCTGATCAAGATTAGTAAGCCACAAAGAGTCTTGGAAAGTGCTTGGGTCATCAGCAAAGGTACATCAGAGAGAGAATTATTGAATCCTTTATGATCCAAATTTGTATATGGCTTTCCCTCTGATATGGTAGCCTGATTGTTGCATTAGTCCAAGCCTGCCTGTATGGTTTGCTCACATTCATAGAACGAGTATATGGGGCCAGTAAAAAAGGTATAATGAGTAGGGGAACAAGTGATTCCAACAAGTTAGAATGAATGATTCTGTGAAAGAGAATTTTCAAGGAAAATCCTTCCAGACCATAAAGGGAATAATTTACTTTATGACAGATGGGCATCTTTGGATCATTTGATTTGTGAAATAGAACTTTTTTTAAATATTAGGAAAGCACTCAGAGTTTTCAAAAAATGACAGCATCCCCTAATACCATATTGTAGTCATTACTGCCATGTTTGCTTTTCTTTTAAGCTACACACTTAAGGGTGACAGGAGGCAGATGGAAGAGGTGATGTTTGGAAGACTTAATCACCAGTAAGGCCTGGGTACTAATCATTCAGAACAGATGTTGGCTGTAATTAACTGATATGGCCATACTGTATGTACCATATAAAATTTGCTCCTGGTTGCAGGTACTGAGCAGGGAAGGGGTTTGCAGGCAGAAGAGCATTACAGGAAAACAAAACAATATTCATTCTTTCCCAATCATCTTTTGATACAGATGGATCTGGTTATTTTCCCATGGTCATCTAGTTTTCCAATGTGCTTTCTGCCTTGTCCTGTCTGCTTATACTGATGAAATGGGGGAGAAGGTTCCATTAAGCTCAAGCTGAAAACCACCATGGGACTCCCCCTGCTACATCTGATGTAGTCACTGTGATCTGGCCCACTTTGGTTGGTAAGGCACCAAAGAAGAATCCTTCTTCCCCTTTATTTCTCAATCCTTAGATTACATACCTTGGAAACAAGGATAGGATTCATCCAATCTATCTGTGACAGCTTTTCAAACTCCTTGTTCATTGCATCCAGGGTGGTTTTCAGTGTAGCCTCATCTTCAACACTTCTTAGCTGGTGCAGACAGGAAAAAGAGTGAGACCTCTGAGAGAAAAGAGGTGAATGGGGCCCTGGGAAGTGATTCCTAATTATAACAGGACTGCCTAATGAACTCCTATTTGGCATCTGAAGATTCAGGCTCAGAAAAAGACTCTGGTGACTCTGGTTCCAAAGGAGACATTACCCAGAATTTTTCTTTAAGGAAATGTACAAGCTGACTCAAAGGAAATGTGCAAACTAATTTCTTGGTTCCTACTGCAAAGCCATTTGAACTGCAAGTTCGGCAGTTCAAGCTCACCAGCTTCTCCTCAGAAACCCTATACAGGGTCGCTATGGGTCGGAACCGACTCAACAGCATTTAACAACAACAACAACCCTAACATATCACTTGCCACAGCACAACTGAGGTGGCCAAATAATGGAAATGGGAGCTACTAGGTGGGAGTCACTTACTCATAAATCTACAGTCTCTTTGCCAACACTGAGCTCTAAATGCCCGTCTTCTTCCAGGGGAGGAATAGCACCCCAAAACAAGCCTTATCTCCATTGCTCAAGTTGGATTGCCTTTAGGTACAACCCAATTTTCGTAGCATAAACATTAACATAGTCTGAGTGGCAATGAGAAGGCCAGCACCTATATTTTCTGCTGCCCAAGTTGGCACGGCTATTGAGCTCTGCCTATATATAGAAGGTGCTTCTGTTATTGTTTGCCAAGGCTGAAAGACTACAGCTTGGGGCTCAGATGCTGGAACAGCTTGTCTGATTGCTTTAGCAACTCTGCAGCCTGCATAGTATGCCAATTAGGTGTGCAAATGGAAAAGGAAAAGTGGATGTGCTTCTTGAAATATTAACTTAGAGTCCTCTCTTCAAAGAAAACTTAATTAGTTGAGAAGCAAGCACATCACCTGCTTCAGGATTTCAGCAGCCAATGCAAAATTTACCGCACCAGAGCAAATTCCCTAAATGTGTTTATGAGCTTTGAAAACTAAGAAATATGCAACTACTCTTTTTTTGTAAAACTTTTTCTTGTGAATTGAGTGAAGTTTAACAGATATGATCATCAGCTTTCATCTCAATGATTACAATCCCCTCCCTGCAACAACAGTTATCCTGCTTCCTCCCTGTGGCTTACCTTTTACAGCTTATTTTTTACACATCGACAAAGCAAAAATATTTGATGTGCATATGCAAAACAAAAAACATATATTCATTTAAATGTCCAAAGGGCACATTTTGCAAGTCTGCCTCCTGCTCATAGACACACAGCCTTTCTCTGTCCATGGGCCTAGATAGCTGCTCTATCTCTCCATTATGCAGCTAGTCTTTTTTATGTAAAGCTTTTATTATGAACTAAGTGATAGTTTATATTGTAGAACATAAGTTTTGCATTCAACCAATTGTATTTTTTTTTCATTGCAATGATTACAATCCCCTCCGTGCATCATCAGTTAACAGTATTTGCCTCTATTCCCGTGTTTTTATGCAGCTATTCTTGTAGCTCAAAAAAGTGAGCCTTAAGTCCATTCTTTAGAACACTGTTAAAATCTACCATCTATTGAGTCCCTGTTGTTGTTATTGTTGTCTAGTGCTGTTGAGTTAGTTCCAACCCATAGTGATCCTGTATAGGGTTTCTAAGGAGCAGCTGATGGGCTTGAACCACAGACCTCGTGGGTATAACTGACTTTGCAGTCCAGTGCATTAACCCACAATGCCACACCAGGACTAGGTACTTAATATTCATTAGTTTGTTCAATCCTTACAGTAATCTGGGGAGGTAGATATTATAACTTTTATTTTGTAGATACAGGAATTAAGATCCAGAGAGGTGAAGTTACTTCCCACAGCGAATAAGTGGTAGATTTGGGATTTTAACCTAGAGCCCTCCAACTTTTTTTACTGTTCCACACTGCCTTCTTACATGGTGAAAGTGGTATGCAAAAACTTGGGAGATACAGAGCATCTCAAAAGATGCTGAGAACATTCTACTTTTGATTGGTCTGGTCTGGACCTGGGAGACATTTCCCAAAGGACAATGTAAGTGAGAAACTTTCTTTTAAGGGCATGGTAGTCTCTGTGGATTAGCATAACCTATAGTGATAACCTTGGATGACATAGCAGGGAACTGCCAGCCAAGTGTCACCTGTGCCCTAGAACCAAACACAGCGATTGTGTCCAGATGGGATACCTTCCCCCTTCCATGCTGCAATCCCAGGACTCACCAAATGTTCATCCAGGAAAGCCTTGGTGTCATTGTAGAGTCCTTTAAGAATAAATGTAACATCCATTGCATCATTTCTGCTTAGTGTCTGAGAGAAGAAGAAAGGAAGGAAAAGGACAAAAACAGAGGAGTTTTGGGTTAGTTAAGTATGCATCTAGTGTCTCTGTGGGAAGAAAGGGACAGGCTAGTGGGATGTGGCTATAGGTGAAGAAGTAATATTCAAAATGTAGCGCAATTTGTATAGCCAGTCAATCAAAACTGATGCCAGCTGTCAACTGCTGTGATAGCTATATTTGTGTGTCTTATAAAATGGAGCAGCACAACTTGACTTTTGGCATTATTAATTGAGTGCTGTGGGTATAAGGAAACAGAATATGCAAAATGGAATACAATTTGAGGCCACTTGTTATCCTAAGCTAAAGCTATCTTTCCAATGATAAGTGTAAGTAGGTCCAACAAGCTCTCTTTTTAAAACTCCAAGCTTTAAGCTCCAGGCCTCATCTAATCGAAATCTGGTCCAAAATAAATAGCTAGCCTTAGCCTTATATGTGGTCCTTTTTAATCTTTTGCATAGCATGAAAGTTACTTTTTTAAAACATGGCTTAAATTTTCTGTTGTTGTTAAGTGTCATTGAGTTGGCTCTGACTCAGGGTGACCAAGGAGCAGCTGGTGGGTTTGAATCGCTAACCTTGTGGTTAGCAGTCCAGTGCTTATCCTATCTTATAGTAGTACCACAACAGGAGTCCTAGCAGTGGGTAAAGTCATGAAATGGCATAGTTAACATCAAGTGTCCTAATCTGGATTCTTTCCTTAAGAGAGAAACTAAGGTACCCTGGAATTTGGGTTCCAATGACAGTTGCTGCCGTATCAGGTTATATGAAGATGTGGAGGGGTCAAGACCATTTTCTCCCAAGGAACATTCTCTCTAAATCAGGTGTGATACTTGACTATCAGGGAAGAGTGCTAATTCTCATGCTGATGTGGGATTCCCTTAGAAGCCACACTGTACCTCTAACAAGCTAAGAGATATCTACCTGCCCTCTCCTCTACTTTATCTATCAGTTTCCTGCCATATCATTTGCCACTCAGCCCCTGACTCCCCATCCTTCTCCTATATCCCTTTCCTATTTCCCTTGACTCTTTTCCATCATCTACCCCTTACCACCCTTACCTCAATGGGAGTGCAGGAAGCTGCAGCTGCCTCATTGCCACTGTTTTGTCCATAAAATATATCATTCAGGATTTCAGTACTGGCGTTCACAGAATCCATTAGGACAGATACATGCTGGTAGACCTTATTCAGGTCAGTAACTCTGTAATGAAGTAAGGATAGATGTATGAACCAGGAGTTCTGAAGGACTTCTGACCTGGGATACTGGTGAGAGTTTGGATAGCGGTAGAAATAAAAGCCCTGGGTACCCAACTGGGACTCTTTATCTTCTCCTGTTGTTTCTGCTCTTCTCTAGGTAGTTATCTTTTTCTATCCTTGCTTGACACCTAGAATTTAGATACTGGGAGTCTGGGGAAGGTGGGAGGCCAGAATAGTGGAGGGCTGCTAAATCCAGGAACTTTAAGACTGTCCTGATATTTAAAAGCAAGGATAAACATTCTTAGTTCTGGTGGTCTGAGGTAGTAGTTGTTGGTGTTAAGTGCTGTAGAGTCTGTTTCAACTGATAGCGAAACCTATATAGGGTGTCCAAGGAGCAGCTGGTGAATTTGAACTGCCGACCCTGCAATACAAACCAACCTTGCGGTCCAGTACTTTATCCTACAATGCCACCAAAATTCATTTCTGGACCTAACAGGACAGGTTCAAACTGGCTTTTTGCTGAGAACCAAGGTTATTTTCTGCTTGGATTTTCAGGGTCCAGTCAATCTTAAGAGTTTTAGGTGAGACTCCTGAGGCAGGCTCCCCACTGGCCATTAGAGTCAAAGTGATTTCTTTTCTTAATACATTCTTAGAATTTTCTGCCTTGTATCTGCTAATACAGTGCCAGTCCTCTTACCTACTGATGAGATTTTCTGCAAGTCGAGCTAAGTGCTGCATCTGGGCATTTTCTTCATCAGAAAGACTACCTTGAGATTCCTCAGACTCCTGCCAGGTGTGAGGAGCAGCTTGAATTTCATCATGCTTGCACTCCCACATTTTCATGGATTTCTCAAAGTCCTGGAGATGAAGACAGTGGCAGCTATTAATGATTGCTATAGTCCTGGTGTGGTGCTGTGGGCTAATGTGACAGACTGCAAAATCGTTTGAACTGCAAGATTGGTGGTTCAAGCTCACCAGCTGCTCCTTGGCAACCCTATACAGGGTCACTATGGGTCGGAACCAACTCAATGGCACTTCACAGCAACACCAACAACAATAGTAACCCTGTTGTGGCATTTCAGGATAAGCACAGGACTGCAAGGTCAGTTTAAACTGCAAGATCAGCGGTTCAAATCCACCAGCCACTCCTTGGAAACCGACTCAACAACACTAAACAATAACAACAGTAGCTAAAAGGCCACATGGCAGATCTGCCTCTGAGTCTGATATTTATGGAGCACAGATGTTCCTCATTTTACTTAATATTATTCTACACTGGGCACTTGCATTTTGTTGTTGTTGTCATTATGTTAGCTCTTGGAACAAAAGGCCTAAATCAGATAGATAATTTTCTGCCTTACAGAAGCTCATAATTTTGTTGTTGTTAAGTGTCCTTGAGTTGGTTCTGACTCATAGTGATCCTGTATAGGGTTTCCAAGGAGTGGCTTTTTACATATAAACTGCCCAGCACAAAGTAGGCACCTTACAAACTGGACTTACCCTTCCTTCTCTACTGCTGTTTCTATGGATAGTTCACAGGACAGAGTTAAAGAGATCCTCTAGGCAAATTTCTAGCTTGAGAAGTTTTAGCTGAAGTGGATGACATATGTGAATGCAGCATTTTAAAGAACATTGTTGTTAAGTGCTGCTGAGTCAGTTCTGACTCATAGTGACCATATATAGGGTTTTGGAGGAACAACTAGTGGGTTTGAACTGCTGACCTTATGGTTAGTAGTCCGATACTTATCCTACAGTGCCACACCAGAACTTCTGTCGAGTTGGTTCCAAATCATAGTGATCCTGTGTAGGGTTTCAAGGAGCGACTGGTGAACTTGAACCACTGACCTTGTGGTTCAAACTGACCTTGCGTTCCAGCAGTTATCCTGTAACATCACACCAGAACTCCTAGAGGAACTTAAATATCACACTCAGTGCAGAATTAGTTGTTGAAGGAATAGAATCCTTCATAACTATCTAAGACCTTTAGCTCTCCATGCAGTGAAGAGGGAGATAGGAAGGACAACTTGGTTCAAAGGTAATTAGAATGTCTGGGAACTTGTTTATAGCAAGCACCACAGGTGATTGATTGTGATGCAAGTGGTGTGCAGAGTTCACTTTGAGGAATTCTGCTTGACTGCAAGTACCTAGCACTTGAACTATAGTTGTGGATGAGGCGGTATAAGAGCCCAAGATGAGCTTTTTTCCCTCTTACCCGATCTCTTGACAGCATCTGGGCAGCATTCTTGTATTTAATCTTGATAAGGCCTGGCCTTTGCATCCAGGCTTCCCCATCCACCTGCACTGGGATACCTTCTTCACCATCAATGGTTATCATCACCTCATGGCACTACCAGAGAAGAGAAGGAAGGAGAATGGGGGAGAGAAATGAGGTAACTTCTAGATATAGACCAAGCTGATAATTTTGCAGTCAGGACCTTAATGTACATCTGAAGCAGAATTATCAAGGGTGTGAATAAGATTATCCCAGGAGGAAATGCCTCTTTCCTATGGGCATGGATGGACCCCCCAATTGGTGCAAACTGTTAATATGCCTGGGTATTAACTGAAAGGTTGTCAATTTGAGTCCACTCAGGCTCCTTGGAAGGTCAGCCCAGAAATCTACTTCCAAAAAAGCAATAACTGAAGACCCTACAGAGCACAATTCTACTCTGACCCACATGATATTGTCTTGAGTCAGAATCAACATGATAGAAATTTCTTTTGGTTTTGGATGGGCATGAATGGCATCAATCTGGGGGCTACAGAAAGGTTTTACTTGTACAAGTCCTTGCCATCTCTGCTTTCATAATAAGTCAACATCTTGCAGTCTACCAGATAACCTACTCCCTCTGCCCTTTTAAAGAACACTATTGTTAAGTGCCCAATAATTTCTGGAACCACCACACACCCTGGGTTGCAGCAACAAAGCCCAGTCCTTTCCTGGTGCCCACTAAACCCCTGCCTACCTGGGCAATGCGATGATGATGCAGGTTGATGATACGGGACATTGCCATCTGCATAGAACCAAAGATTGCCACTACTTCCAACTTCCCATCATCTATTGCAGGAGCCTCATATTCCTGAGGAGAAATATCTGTGTCACATCTCCCATACTTTAGGATCCATACCTTGCTAATAAACTTCTGATAAGAAGACTTCTGATGAGAACTTTTCCATTTTATGAAAAGTAGGGGAGCTATATGTAAAAGTGGGAGAAACTGAGGCCAGGAAGCCAATCTGGGAAAAGGGCACTGAAATCGCAACTCTTGCTGCCTTTGAGATTACAGCTCTTAGTTGGTTTCTTCCCTGTCTAATTCAGCATCACAAGTCCCTAAGGCCAACCCTTTTGACCTCATGGTCTTCTTGGATGACCTTAGAGGAAAGGGGTCATGACCAGAAGATTATACTGACATACATTCTTGGATAAAAGAGCATGGCTTAAGTGACATTTCAAGGATCTGTCAGACTTTTTGTTGTTAAGTGCCGTCAAGTCGATTCTGACTCATAGCAACCCTGTATAGGGTTTCCTAGGAGCAGCTGGTGAGCTTAAACCACCAACCTCATGATTCAGACTGACTTTGCAGTCCAGCACACTAGCCCACAGTGCAATACCAGGAGTCGGGAGTAGACAATTCAAAGCCCAGGCAACATCTAAGAGGTGACATAATCCTGAGGTCTTTGGTTGATCCTTGTGCTCTGGGATGCTAGTTGCCTAGAAAAACTGATCATACAGCCGCTGCTAATAAAGGTCCTGGACTACCTCCTCTTTCCTCATTGTCTACTCCCCACTTCAGTCTCTCCAGCTTTCCTTTTTGAGAGATCTTAGAGGGATTATACCTTCCCCCCTTCTTCTTTCCTTGTTCCCACTTACTGTGGTTGCTGTGCTGTCTCCCCAGAAGTTGACACCTCCAGCATAGCTGGTAATGTTGAGCACTACAATGCCTTGTAGGTTTGGCAAGGAGATGCTTTCTCCATCACACTGAAAGAAAAGAGTAGCTCTCATTGCCTGAATCTTCAGATACCAATGTGAAGGGACATTTATAGGAATGAGGGAAGGACTCTGTCTTCTCTTCATGCTATCATTTTCTTATCTATAACATGGAAATTTTTCTTCATGTCTTCCTGCCATGGGCTGAGAGTTGGAAGTACCAAAGATAAAGGGAAGAGGTGGTACCCAAGGGCATGAGATTTGCTTTCCTCATGTCAAGGAAGGACCAACCCCTTTTTCACTAACCTGTAGGTGAACTCGTTCTTCTAGGTTCCTGTAAGAGCGCTGCAAAAGCTCCTTGCTTCCTAGAAGTCCATACCACATCTTGTTCTTAAGGCGGCTGCTACAAGTAGGTAAGAGTAGAAAAAGGTAGTCAGTGAGTGAAAAAATATAAAGATTGGTAAAAAAAAAAAAAAAAAACAAACAGGAGGGTAAACTACCTTATTTCACAAATGCTTTCTTATACAGAGGAGTCCAGTTGAATGACAACTGGACACAACAGGAGCTACTGATATAGTGTAATTGGTATCTCCATGAAAATGCTGGCTGAAATGGACTTCTGGGCTCCTTTGATGCCTTAGCATCTCATTGATACGTGAATTTGCCACATCTCCTTGCTGTTGATATTGGCTTAGAAGGCTTAGAAGAGACAGGCTATACAGAAGAAGAAATGATCTTAAAAAGCTGGAATGTAGCTGTCAAGCACACACCAGCTATTCTGGCAAGTGCTGCTCTAGGAGTGCAGATTTCAGCTGCCTGAAATCCATTTCATTGAAACTATCTGACCCTAGACTGCCAATTCTTTGAAACACTGAATATGCTGACAAAGTGTAGGGCTTTTTAAACACCAGCCTAGTATATAAAATGCTTAATTCAATGCTATCGAGTAATACAAAGCCTAGTAGGCAGATTCTAGAAGAGGATCCAGTGGAGAGACTATGGGACAGGTGAGGATATCAGGAGACTTAGGGTGGGGGTAGGAAGGACATGCTGACTGTAGCTTCTATGATAAAAAAAACTTTTGTTGTTAAATGCTGTCAAGTAATTTCCAACTCATAGTAATCTTGTATAGGGTTTCCAAGGAGTGGCTGGTGGGTTTGAACTGCTAACCTTGTGGCTAACCTTGTGGTTAGCAGTCTAGTGCTTATCCTACAGTACCACACCAGGACTCCAGGCCAGCACCGGATTGGGTGAAATCAATGTGTTCAGGGGAACCAGGTTAGGAACACTAAGAATGAGCAGAGATATCTCTGATACTCTACAGTCTTGCCAAGCAAAACAGAACTGAAATCACTACTAGTACTTGGCCAAGCTCTCAACAGATAGAACAAAGCTAGGTAACGTGCTGAATTAAGTCAACATAATCTGTTTAATTAACAGTAACAAAATTAGCTGTGTAAACAATGATTCAATATCTAGACTATGAAAGCAGCTCCAACTTCAGGTTTCCAGCACAGAGTCATCATAGAAGTCCCTAATAGTTCAGACAAGCCATGCCATTCATTATGCTATCCTTGTTGTTGTTGTTGTTAAGTGTCATCGAGTTGGTTCCGACCCATAGCGACCCTGAACAGGGTTTCCGAGGTTATAAATCTTTACGGGAGCAGAAAGCCTCATCTTTTTCTTGCAGAGCAGCTGGTAGTTTCAAACTGCTGACCTTGAGGTTCGCAGCCCAATTTGTAATCACTACGCTATCAGAGCTCCTTATGCTATCCTTAGGACATGCAGTTTACTTTTAAAGGATCTTTCTGCTGCTTGTCAGAGAGGTAAGGAATGTAGGAACACAAGTATGTGTTGTGATTGTATGTTTGTGTGTAAGGAAGGGAGTTTCTTTTTCTTACTTGTATTGCCCTGGGTGTTCATCTCTTCTGGTGTTGAATTCCAGAGAAATTTTAGCATCCAGTCCAATTCCAAAATAGTTATTCATAACACATCTTTCTTTGAAGCATCTGAAATCAGTAAAAGGGAAGAAGACAAACATTGTTGCAGGAAAGAAGTGCTACTATCACTAGGTTGCCGGCTTCATCTTGCTTCATCAAAAACCACAGGGGAGAAGCCTTCACCTCCTCCATACTGGACACACACAAAAAAAGTTCTTGAGAGACACATGTAGTTGTCATCTTGCATGAACAACTAGCTTGTTAACTATAAATGAGGGTGCCCAGCCACTTGGGAGGATTGAATGCGATTGGTCTCATAATTGTTGTTGTTAAGTGCCATCGAGTCAGTTCCAACTCATAGTATAGGGTTTCCAAGTGGTGAGCTTAAACCACTGACCTTGTGGTTAAAACTGACTTTGCGTTTCAGCGCACTAACGCACAGCCCCACACCAGGACTCTTGGTCTCATAATAAAGAAGCAATATTAATGATCTTAGTCATCTTTGGAGGCCCTCCAGTAGGAGTGATCAATATTTTCTCCACAAATAATAAAGAAAGGGAAGTAAAGTCACTGAGTTATTCTCATATAGAACTTTTGAGCACCCTAGATAAAAACATACATGAGAGTTAAGTCTGCACCGCCCTTAGAGATGTTGATTTCCTTATAGTATTTTCACATCAAAAGGCAAAGAGACCACGCATTTTGGGGAAAATATTGATAAGAGAGGGTAGATAAGTAAACAACAGAAAAGATCAGGCAGATTTTTGAATCTCTTGCATCCATCTGATTATGTATTCCCCCTTAGCTGTCAATATCAAAGCCAATGGTAAGCGGGTGCCTGTTCATATCATCTCTTGTAACATGATTGTGAATGTCTCTTGCCAATTCTGCATTCAGTGACATCACATTAGTAATTTAAAATCGGTCATGGTGGAAGGGTTTCCACCAACAATATATCAAGGGTTTTTGTTTGCTTGTTTTTATTTTTTCCCTAAAGAACTTCCAAACTCTTCAGTTAATTCTATGAGACCTTTGACATGCACTTAAGGCCAATTGTGAAGTGAAGTGGGGTGGGGTTTGTAGATAGGGATAAATGGAAAGCTCCAGAAAAGTTAAATAATTGCTGGCTTTGTCCTTCTTTTGAGAAACTAAAAGTGAGTACAGTTCAGCTATTCAATCATAGATAGTTTTTGTATTAGTTACTAAGCTGAACTCACACCTCTCATATGAGACTCCTTCAATATTCCAGAAGTTAGAGTTCTTCTGATGTTCAAATTGATCTTAATGGAACTCAAAATGGTTTAGTGTGGTGGGGCTTGGCTAGGAATATTCTAAAGAGGTAGGAATAATGAGACAGACTTCCTTGGATTTGCTGCCTAATGCTCATTTATGTTCTTAGCATCTTCAACTACTTAATATTAACAGCAACATAATAGAAAAACAAGTCCTCTGAAATCATAACATGTACTGTTTATAATACTAATAATAATGATAATAAATAATAACTGTTACAATTTATAGCACTTAATTATGAGTGCCAAGCACTGCTGTAAGTACTTTACATATATTATCTCAATAAATGCAGCAAACCTAAGATGGCATGTCCTAAAATTCACTCCTTTTCACATGTGAGAAAACTGAGGCTCAGTCACTTGCCTAAGATCACACAACTAGTAAGTGGTAGAGTCAGGATTTGACTCCGGGAGTCCTGGAGTGGAGCTGTAGGATAAGCACTGGACCTCAAGGTCAGTGGTTCAAATTCACCAGCCACTCCTTGGAAACCCTATACAGGGTTGCTATGAGTCAGAACTGACTTGATGACACTTAACAACAACTACAATCTTGATACTGTGTTCTTAAAGGAAAGAAAAAACCATGTAAGTGATATGGTTAATACTTACATTGTTTCAGGCAAAAAATGTAAGTGCTTCAAGTTGAGGTTATCTAGGTCCTCACTTTTGAGAGAAGAGATAGAAGACAAAATGCTATGACGAGAACCTGGACAAAAAGGCATTACAATGGTGTCAGGTGCAAAAATTAAATTCCTTTTCTCTGCTTGTATTGTACCCTGTTTTCTCTATGGTGCAGGATCAAGCACAATGACTTTCTAGTACATAACATTCAGGCAATACAATAGAAAACCAACTTATTTTGTTTTTATCCTCTTAGATGAACAGGGACTTTTACTGAGAGAATAGTGAGGTCAGGCTGTTGGTTTGCTGACATTGAAAACAGCTTTAAAATAGGTTTTATCAGGCCAACATTTTCAAATGGCTAAAGGGATCATTTCTTTCGGGGAGGAGCATCTATTGGAGTATAGAATTATGACTAAAGGAGGGTGTATGAAAGCATATTTTTATTTTCTGAAAACTAGAAGACATTGATGGAGGCTAGAATACGTGACTAAGAAGAGACAGATACTTACGGTGTCTTGGGCTTGTTCTATTAGTATCACCTGAGTCATCTCCCAGGAAGAAGGTTGAAGTAAAGTTTTTAACTGATATTGTCTGTCTGCTTTCCTCATCTAGAACTACAGAGAAAAAGGGGATGGAAAAAAGGAGGGAAGAGAAAGGGAGAGAGGGAAGAAAAAGAGAGAGAGGACTGTTTATATTTATTATCTATTGTGCTTACAGCCAACCACTGATTTGACTGTCATCATCTCAGTTTCCTTTAACATTGTTGCCCTTATGTGTCTTCAGATCCATGCTGAAATTATTGTTTTACTGGCGAAAAGGGGACAGGGTAGGAAACCCTCTGCTCTTCTACCTCCATTCTCACTGCTTTGTTAGCTCATTTACTCACATGACTTGTTCCAACTTGAGCCCTAGGATCTTGCCACTCATTCACTCAAACGTTGCGCCCATGTCTGGAATATTTAAGAAGTCTCCTTCCTCTCACCAATTTAAATCTTGCATATCTTAGATGCTCAAAGACTGTGACAAAGGACAAAGATAATACCTATCTTGCATTGGGGATGCAGGGTGGGGTGTCAATTTTTGTTTGTCCTATGACCACAAGATGTACCTCTAAATCGGCTGAGGGTCGGTTGCTACAGGTCTACATCAGATTATTCTGATCCCTTTTACCTGGAAATTAACTACAGAAGCTGAGGCAAACTGTTTAATTATTTCACAGTGTAGAAGGGAGATTTCTGTTCTTTTCTGGAAACTTGGAGGAGGTTGTCCCTAAAGTTACTGTCTTAGTTATCTAGTGCTGCTATAGCAGAAATATCAAAAGTGAGTAGTTGGATTTAACAAACAAAAGTCTATTTTTTCACAGTTTATAACAATTGACCTTGATGTCCTCCAACACTTATGGTTCTGAGCCCAGAGACTCATTTCCTCAAGGTGTTTGGTTCTGGTTAATAAGTTTTCATTATGTTGTCCGCTGTATGGTCTACTATATGCAGCACATATAAATACATATGTAGAAATATCCTTTGTCAAAGCTATACGTATTCCTGGGCACTCTGAGCACAGCTTTCACTTTGTCTCAATGGGTTTAGTATGTTGAGCTTTCATTCTCATTTGAATCAAGAAATTAATTATAAATTTTTTTGCTATTGCCCAGTAGTTTTTAAGCAGGATGTTATTCAATTTCCATGTATTTTATTCCCTTGATCTTCCTATTGTTGTTTTCTAATTTTATAGCATTGTGACCTGATATGATGCTTTGTAGTAGTTCAATGTTTTCAAATTTATTGAGGCTTGTTTTGTGGTCTAATATTTGGTCTATGTGGAGACTGTTTCATGTGTGCTGGAAAAAAAAAAAATATATATATATATATATATTGTGCTGTTGTTATGTGGAGTGTTCTATATATGTCTATGAAGCCAAGTTAGTTTATTGTGTTTTAGGTCTTCTATATCTTTGTTGAATTTCTTCTTAGTTGTTCTGTCCTTCATTAAAAGTGGTGTATTAAAGCCTCCTACTTACATTGTAGAGTCCTGGTGTGGCACTGTAGGAAAAGCACTGGACCATAAGGTTTGGTTTGGACTGCAAGGTTGGTTTGAAGTGCAAGGTCGGTGGTTCAAACTCACCAGCTGCTCCTCAGTGTCCTTATGAGTCAGAACCCTCTAGACAGCACTTAACAACAACAATCACTGGGTACATTACCATTTATTATGATTATGTCCTCTTGTTGGATTGACCCTTTAATCATTATATAATGTCCTTCCTTGCACTTTTTGCTGGTTTTTACCTTAACATCTGTTTTATCAGATCTTAATACTGACACTCTTGTTGATTTTTGGTTGCCATTTGCTTGCTATATATTTTCCATCCTTTTTTTAGTCTATTTTTGTCTTTGTGTCTAAGATACGTCTCTTGCAGATAGCATACTGTTGGGTCATGTTTTCTTATCCATTCTGCTGCTCTTTGTCTCTTGATTGGCACATTTAATCTATTTACATTCAGTGTAAATATCAATAAATATGAATTTAGTGTTGTCACTGCTGTTCTTTGTATGTGTGTGTGTAAGGTGCTGGCTTCTTTGTTCCATATATTTTTGTTTATGGATTTTCTTATCATTTTCCTCATTGTTGTTTCTTTTGTATTTACTGAATCTTTATCATTTTATTGCTTTTTAATTTGATGAGAAAGTTTATTAATATTCCTTGAGGTTACTGTATAATTTGTTATGATCTTCCTAAGTGTAAAACAGTCCATTCTATTTTGATATCATCTTAATTTGTTCTACATTTGGAAGTTCTGGATCTACATTATTTATTCCCTCTTTTTGTTTGTATTTAGCACAGTTTACAAATTGGTGTCTCTGGTTCTCTATTTTCAATGCTGTAGGCTTATTGTACTTTTGATACTTCTATATCTGGGTTGATTTTTCTGTGATATTGTTATTCAGGTTGTTGTCTTCCACTGTTGATTCTTTATCTAAAGGACTCCTTTTAGCATTTCATGTAAAGTTAGCTCAGTTTTTACAGCTTGTTTTAATTTACATTTATCTGGAAATCTCTTAATTCCATCATTGTGTTTGAGGGGCAATTTTTCTGGATATATATAATTTTTGGTTGGCAATTTTCTCTTTCAGGGTTTTATATATGTTGTCCCACTGCTTTTTTGCCTACATGATTTCTGCTGAGAAATCAGAGCTTAGTCTTATTGGTCCTCCTTTGTAGGTAATTTTTCAGTTTTTCCAAGTTACTTTCAGCATTCTTTCTTTGTCTCTGGGTTTGGAAAGTTTGATTATGATGTGTCTCGGTGAAATTTTTGTGGAGTATATGTTATTTGAGGTTCATTTGTTGAGCTTCTTAAATGCATATCATCTCATCTTTCATATTAGAAAAGTTTTCTTCCAACATATTTTTTCCAACTCTTTTTTGTGAATTAAGTGAAGATAAACAGACAAGATTATCAGCTTTACTACCAACCAATCATACATTTGTTTAATTTGTCTCATTAATCACTCTCCTCTATGTCACAACAGTTATCCTGCTTCTACCCTGTTGCTTCCATTTTACATCTTATTTTTCACCAATGAACAAAGCAAAAATGTGTGATGTATACATACAAAAAAACAAACAAACAAACAAAAAAAACATATTCATTTAAATGTCCAAAGGGCCAGTTCGGCAAGCCAGCCTCCTGGCAACAGGCACACAGCCTTTCTTAGCCTATGGGCCTAGACTCCTCAGCTGATCTATTTCTCTATGCCATTGTCTCTGCTGTCGCCACTTTTCCTTCATGGTGGTCCTGTGGTCCTCTGTTCCCGAAATGAAAGATTAACTACTCCCCCCTTTTAGTTTCACATCTTCTACAATTACAACGTGACTATCGCAATTAATCCTGATAACAATTACTCACAATTGAATCATAAAATCCTATCACCATCATCTCCCATCACCTTTCATCAGATCCATCTGGAAAAGATGAAAACTATTCAGTGGGGATTCTGCCTTACCTCCTCATTACAAAACTAAGCACATTCATGAAAGCTTATAACCCATCCACTTTGTGCCCTTCTAGCCCCCCATTTTTGATAGCCAGTGTCTAGATTGGCCGTCCCTATCAATCCATTGCATTGAGGAAACACGCTTAATCCTTGACATGAAGAATCCATTCATTTCCGTTGGAATTTTGAGCAACTGCATCCAAGAGCAAAGGTTCAGTTGATCAAATTGTAGCAATTTATGCTTGCTCACAGTATCAAACTCCTTTATCTTCATCTGATCGAGTTCTGGTCGGCTAGCCATCCAAGCTATGTCAAATGGGTACTATCTGCAACTTTGGGAGTCCACGCATGCCTCTCCACACTTCAGACTAACTGACTGCTTCACTCTCAGCTCTAGCCTCCAAGTGTCCATGGGCTTGGGAGTCCACGTATATCCCTAAACTTCAGACCAGCCAGCCTTTATTCTTCTCTCTCTTATCTCATGATCAACAGGTATCAATGGAACATGGTCAAACTCAGTCCATGTCTTCATTGCTGCATTCCCCCCACTTCCACTCACAAGTGAATCAGAGTGGTCACCAGTGGGCATTCTGGACTATGGGTGGGGTCCCTTTGAGTTTCAATCTTAGAAGGAGGATTTCCCTGGTGAGCTGACTTTTCTTGCCTTGATGGTTCCAAGGCAAACAGCTTGTTTTATATTTTAACATCCAAACAGTCCACTTTTTTTTTTTGTCTGCTGGTCTTTCTTCCAAAAAGTATTTTTTATTCTTTTAGTCATTTTGGATTGGTCTGTATGTCTTTTCAAACAGGAATGTGCCAACTCGGAAGGTTCTGGGTGGAGCACAGGATTCCACCTAAGGCATCATACTCCACAAAGGCTTAACAAAAAGCCTATTTCCCTGGACAAATTAGAATTTCCCTTTTAGCTAAAGATGGGCTTACAAGCGCTCTGTAATCATAATTCTCAATATTCATTTCTATCACACTTAAATGTCTATTTTATAATAGTAGACAGGAAAAACCAATATCAAGATAGTCAAGCCCCCTAAATATTTTCCCCCTCCTTTACCCATTCAGACTATATTTCTATGCCTGTATCACAGAGCACTGTTGTTCCAAGATTGTGTATACATTACTATTTATCTCTACCCCACTTAGCCCATGCATACCTCCCTAAGTCTTCCCCTATCTTTATTGTTCATCTATCATCCTCCCCTTCCTTGTGTGTTGCCCTCCTCCTTGTGTATTGCCCTCCTCATTACCTGAGCTATCATGTGCCTGTCTCCTAAAGTGTGCCTTTCTGTCCCCTCACTCCCACCCCTGGTAACCATCAAAGAATGTTTCTTTTAGTATGAAAATATTTTCTTAAGCTTTTACAATAATTGTCTCATGCAATATTTATCCTTTTGTGATTGACTAATTTCACTTAGCATAATATCCTCATGGTTCATCCATGTTTAGAGGTGTTTTGCAAATTCATCATTATTCTTCAAGGTTGCATAGTATTCCCTTGTGTGTATGTACCAAGTTGTTCATCCATTCTTCTATTGATTGACACTTAGGCTGTCTCCATTTTTTTTGCTAAGGGACTAGCGCTGCAATTAACATTGGTGTGCATGTAT